AATGCATCATGCCAGTGTTACACAAATGACACAAATGTCTCTTGGCCATGATGTTGGATGAGCCTATCTTCCAATGATTGGGAATGTGTGGATATGAATTGGGGCCTTTTTAATTATTATTTTTACTGGGTGGTTAACCTTCCATTCTTTTTAATCCTATGTTAGCTGTCCAGAATTTTTAAGCTGGGCAAATAGACAAATTGATAAAATGAATAAATGTGCAATTTGTGTGATGACATCGATAGATATGACTTCCTTCCCCCTGTTCTCCCTTGAAAACCATTAGGATAACACAATATTGGGACTTGCTCTCTGCCCTTGGGGGAATCTGAAAGAATGCCCTACTTCCTACATCCTTCAGTGGCATGAGACTGATTAAAAAGTCATGGCAGCTGGATGGACAGACCATATTTTTGAATTACAAACTCTATGAAGAAATCTTTGGAAACAAACAGGCCACACTCTGTACTACATGACTCTGTTACTTCCAGCTGCCTGGATATTTTTAGCATGAGCTTTTACATTGTCTTATGTTGGTTTCAAATTTTACGTTAGTGTATTAGCACATGTTCTGCAAGCATAACTGTAATAAATGACCTAGCAAAGTGTCTGGAAAAATAGGTCTACTCCATTTGCATTTGTAACATAAATAGAAATTTTGAAAATCATTTTCAGCCATATTAATATAATCTGCATCAAGAAGGCCAAATGTATTTTCTTGTATTCTGCAATATTTAAAGATTGCAAAATGTGGATTATGTATATATGTTTATTTGTGCATATATATATTGGACCAGTTTACCCAACACAATAAGTAATATTGTGAGTTCTTTTAATTTTACTGTAATATGCCCTTTGCATGCAAACAAAACCATGGTTAAACAAATCTAGCTTAAATTGCATTTCATACATTTTTTTCAAAAAGCCAAAATCTGATCTCTTTTTCACTTAGCATGTTAGCTAGGAGAGCAAATTGTTTCTCAATTAACCTTGGTTAAGCAAACTACTTCTTAGCATAACATAAAAATATGTTAGGAGGAATTTGTCTAACTTGGACTTTTTTCTTACTTTATATCAAGTTAAGAAAAGGGAGAACGGAGTTTCTTGGCTTTCTTCTTCTCTTCCCCAACATCACTGGGAATAGCCTGGAGGAAGCACACAAGGAAGATGCCCAGGAAGATCTGTTCTTGGCAGAATAAGATGAGCAGGCTGGGAAAGGCCTCCTCAGTCTTGCCAGGATCACTTTGGGCAGCACAAAGGAGCGCATGCGATTTATAGGAGCTCTTGCTGTAAGTACTGTACACCCAGAAGAGAGCTCTGGCTGATTCCAGCCGTTTGGTAAAGGTCACCCACATCTGAGCAAAGCAGGACGATGAATGATGGCCTTCAAAGATGCTCATCCCCCCACATCCCATCACCCTAGCATTGAAAAGTCCACCATTTGAAAGTTGGTGGCTTGCTCAACATGCTTGTCCCATCTCAGAATTAAAAGCAGGGGTCTTCAAACTTGGCAACTTTAAGACTTGTGGACTTTAACTTCTAGAATTCTCCAGCCAGCTGCTGGCTGGAGAATTCTGGAAATTAAAGTCCACAAGTCTTAAAGTTGCCAAGTTTGGGGAGCCCTGATTAAAAGTAATTGTACCTTTGGTTTGCCATGCTGTACTTGCAGCCAATGTTTGGAGGATCACAAAAAGTTACCATTTGCAATCCGGATGCTAAGATGGCACATTCACCTACCACATTTCAGAACCTTACTGACACATTTTGATTTATTGTGACTACCAAATTTGGGCTGGAAAGATCCGGAGAAGGAATGAATGGCACCAAGGCTTTGAGTTTCATAAATATCCTTGCTCTCTATTTAAAAGCTGTCCAATCTTTGCAGACTACCCCGGTTAGCCCTAATCTAGTTATATTTTAGGTGCTGGAGAAGGTGCTGGATTAGGTGATGGAGAAGACTCCCTTGGACTGCAAGGCGATCAAACCAGTCAGTCCTAGAGGAGATCAACCCTGGCTGCTCTTTAGAAGACCAGATCCTGAAGATGAAACTCAAATACTTTGGCCACCTAATGAAAAGAAAGGACTCACTGGAGAAGAGCCTCATGCTGAGAAAGATTGAGGGCAAAATAAGAAGGGGATGGCAGAGAATGAGGTGGCTGGATGGAGTCACCGAAGCAGCAGGCGTGAGCTTAAATGGACTCCAGAGGATGGTAGAGGACAGGAAGGCCTGGAGGAACATTGTCCATAGGGGTTGCGATGGGTCAGACACGACTTCGCAACTAACAACAACAACAT